TGATCTATCTGACAGTAGTGCTGCTCTGATCTGGATGTTCAATTGGAGGGCCTCTGGAGATTTCTTCAAAAATGAAATATTCCCTTATTCTTGCCAACTATACATTAGAACTGAATGTAACTATGAAATTTGTGCTTCACAGTTATTTATCTGTTTTGTATTGGATTTTAGAGAAGTGTGATTCAATTTTGGCATTTAGAAAATCAGCTGTTACAAGGTATTTGAGCAGTAAACTCACTCTTATCATAACATGGATGTTACTAAGGCCACTGATAAACCTGTTAAGAATTTTTTGCCTATTTTCAATAACTATATTCTAACTCCACTCTACTTTGCTTTTTGTTCTATGTTCTTTTTAAACAGGTTATTAACTGTTAGAGATAAAAATTAAAGTAGAATTAATACACATCACTTATCTTGGTGTACAGTCCTTCAAATGTTTGGTAAAATATCCTTGTGGACATTCACTGAGTGAAGAAAATGTTATATGTATTAACCTTGTGTGCTCAGCACTGTTTCCACAGCTGTACTTCGGTACTACTCTTTTGCTTTAGAAGAAGGCAGAAACAGACAGAATGTAGGTTTTCTTATGTGCCCATGGGAAGATGAGTGGTATTTATGTTTCAAATTACTGTTTCCTAAATTGAAATATAAATGTATAGCTATGGGTTATCTATTCCCAGACTTCTGTGTTCCAAAACCAAATGTTTGTAAGAGGTACTATACGCAGAATCAGAATTACAATTGCTCCTATAATTCTTAAGTCTTTTCCATCAAGGTTTACGGTCAGTTTTATTCCTCAAAATGCATACTTAATTTCTATGGTGCTTTAATTAATAATCTGCCAAGTTTCATTTTAAAAATTGGAAGCAAGAATTATTTCTCTGCTAAAAGAGTATACTATTGAAGTATTCTGTTATATACCCTGAAACAATTCCAGTTAGCAAAATTTAAGGAAAAATAAGTCAAACAGAAGACATTTTAATGAGTCAATGTCAGGTACTCTGATCTTTGCATCTTCAATGGGCTGCTTCTGATGGTTTAAAACTCTCCTGCAAGCCGTCACTCAAGTGACAAGATTAATCTAGTAGAGCAAATGAGGATTGGCTGTCTGATTAACATATGTGAACTACTTACTAGAAACTTTAGGGAACTATGTGCTCCTAAATTTTTTGCAAAGGAAGAGGAGCTCTAACTTAGCATACTGCATAGAACTACTGCCCTTCTTTCTTTATTCTTTTACTTCGTGGATCAACTGTTCTATTTCTCATGCTCCTACTTGCTTCAATTGTTTTTCAATCTGTAAAAGAGTTGATGTTAACTGAAGCAGCCAAACTGCTCAATTATTGATATTACCAGTTGCAAACTTTTTTTTCTGTTGAAATAAAAGAAGGAATAAAAGGGAATGAGAGTAACCTACTGCCTTAGAAACAGCCAATCAGTATCATTCTGAATGAACAAGTTTGTCCTCTTTAGATTACAATGAGGTAATTCACATATTCCTTTGTGCTATAACTAAGGTCATTAGAACCCAGTTATTTGAAAGAAATTTTCAGTAATGCAAAATGCTTTGAGGAACTCGAGATTATCCGCTTCCCTGATGTTGTTCTGTGCTGGTTCTTCTGGTGATACTCTTGTGATAAGCAGGAACGCAGCCACAGTCAGAGGCAGAGATGTGTAGACAATTGTTTGGAAGTTCATTTTTGGGTGTACTTTGCACCACTTAATGTACTGATGTAGGCTTTTTTTGAAAATTATTGTTTTAAAAGAAATCAAAGGTCTTACATCAGCCAGTGCTTTGAGAGAAATAAGTTCTGAGACACAGGCAAGTGGTTTTGGAGATCTTTGTATAGTCTCTCTAAAAACTGAATTGTAGCAACTTCGGGAAATATTCATTTTTAACACTGCATCATAATAATGCTATCTCTATTCAAGGTGAAGTTTTAATTAGGTAAAGAAACTTCTAGCCCACAAATGTACTTTATTTATGCATAAAAAGTGATGTTAAAAAAATTAAGCTTACACATCTAACCGATATCCTGTTTGCTCTCTACTCAGCTGGATTACTTTCTGTAACATTACTCAGCCGTTCTCATCTCCTTTGACAGCACACTGCACAGAGCTCTTTTTTCACCACACTGAAACACATACTTTATGGCAGTCGTTGAAATGATCATTTATAACTGCTCTGATCTGAAAAATTTTACGTGATGCTGCAGCTGAAATTTGTAAAAACAGCTCAAGGCTCTTCCTAAATCATGTAACATTTATTACAAATCTGGGGAGGCCCAGACCTTGAAGGTAAGGTCTTAGCTTGCCTCCCTAACAAAATGTAATGTTACATAGGTACATATTCACACCCTGCGTGAAGTGAGCAAGGATATAAGAAAACATCTACTGAGATCCTGTTTCACCTGTTACAAATACAAACAGGCTATCTTGTGGTCAGCTCTGACTGTCTAACCGTGTGTAGGAAGCACTCAAGGACATATTCTGGTCTCTCTGGACAACCTGCACCTGCACTGCACTAGCCTCATAGGCCAAAGCTTTATCAAAAACATCTCAAGATACAGCTTCAATTGTTGTCACCTGTACTACTAAACAGCCAGAAGAGAGTTTGGCTCAGTGTTGAGATTATTCTTTTACATCATTGTCTCAAAGCTTGCTGGGGACACAGATGAACAAGTCCAAGCAAGTTCTGGGCAAGGGTTGTGAAATCCTTTGTCTGAGGGACACAGATGGACAAGGCCAGGGGCAACAAGAGAGAGAGAAGCTGCAGCTTAATGGCCAGGAAGCAGTCTTTTGTGTGGGCTTATCTTGAGGAGAATGGCCATCTCAGGAGGTGCTGCACATGACTCTTACCCAAGCACCCAGGAATGTCACGCTGGCAGAAGAAGGATAAAAAGGGGACCTAAAATCATGAGGTTTTAGGTTTTTTGGCAAAAGATTCCTCATGAAGAAGAAGTGGTTTCTGACATGAGAAGCCTCATGACGTGCCTCTCCCTCCTGCGCTCTACCACGATGCTGAAGAAGAACAAAGGTGTCTGCCATCAGATTCCTCACTACGGAATTCCTGCATGCTGACGGACTCTCCTGGGCCTGCTACCTGAGTCCTGCTGCTTTCTCCCGGATTTGCTCTGCAACTTCTTCCTGCTGCCTGCTTGCTGCCCCACACTGCTGTTGCTCTCCCCCGTGCTGCTTTTGCCTCAGACCTTCAAAACGTCACGCAACAGGACCGCTGCTGAATCCTGGAGGTGACTGTCCCAGTTTTACGCGATTCTTACTTCTTTCCTATCTTTTCTATAATCCTCTTTCCCTTCCCCGTCTCCCTGATTAGGATTTATAATAAACTGGCTGGACCAACATTTGAACCGTTGTTTCTTATTCTCACACCGGGTATACTGATATTAAAAGAACCTCATCTCCCTCCTATAAATTGGAGCAAGACATTCAGTCATCTTTATAATTCTTCTACATTAGTAGATCATGATTAGATCCTCCCTTACCATCTTCTCTGTACTCAGCACTCAGTTCCCCCAATCTCAATGAATTCATCTTACAGGCCCCCAGCCAACTCCACGACCCTACAGTGGACCTTCTTGAGTTCATCAGCCCAAAACCAAGAATGCTCTGCCAGCCTCACCAGTGCCAAGCAGAAGAGGATCTGCTTGCTATTCTCCTAATGTAGCCTGCAATGCTGTTTGTATTATCAGTGGAGAGAAAGCACTGCTGCCTCAAATTCCACTTTGTGTCTGCTGTGACACACAGCTCATATGTATGATCCCATAGTAGACCGGGATGTAGGTGGACCATAAGCTATTATGGGGTTATGGTACTTTCCTCTTTGGTTACTATGATGTTTTAGGATTGTCTTCTGAACAGATGAGATTTGCAAGGACATGGTCCCTATCAATGCTCAAGTATTTGCAACACTCAAGGGAGGGAAAGAAAAAGGAGGTAGAAGAGAGAAGCCTTGAAAGACTTTCCTTTAAGGAAATAGACATCTGAAGAGAGCCCAGAGAGCTTGGGGAAAATTACAGAGGGATGTTGAGAACAAACAAATTAAAAAAACATATCTATCATCATCTGAAAATTACGACTGTCTAGAAAGAAAACAAAATTTTTTAAAAAGTATGTACAGAGAAATCATCTCTCTAGATACTATTCTCTCAGAGCATCTGTAATTGGAAATAAAAAGGAATTAAATCTTGTTTGTTTTTAAATTTAAATGAACCATTACAGGCTTTTACTCCATTAAAAATGCATGAAAGTGTAGCTGACTATACAAAATCATATGCGTATTTTAGGTTTTCCTGCTAAAATGTGTTGGGTCAGTTCCTGACTAGCAGAAGCAACTACTGATTTTTAGAAATTACTCAGATTGACCTGATTTTGCCCTATATTTTGTACTGGAGGCATGAAGTGAACAAGGGAACATCTGTAAGGGAATGGTAATTTACAATGTGCTTGTATCTTCTGGGAGTCACAACAAATGAAGCAAATGGAAAAATTTAATATATGGAAAATCTGGTTAAAAAAAAATTGTTTACATGAGAAAAATGACATCGGAAGTAATCGTATTTCACCTTGTTTAAACAATACATTTTTTAATTACAAAACTCCTGCCTGTGAAAAAAAATTTTTATGTCTGAAAAATACAGCCATGTTTTGCTGATCTTTACAGTTCTCAGCATGTCTTTATTAAACACACTTACATTTGCTATCTGCATTTTCAAGTGTTTTTGTCTAGGCAGAAATTGAGCTATCAACTGAATACATTATCAAGTCAAGCCTGTAGGAAGCATAATTAGAAAAGTTCTCAAATATTACGTCAGGAATGCAGGGGAAAAAGTGCATCCTGGAAGATGGTGGTGCTCATGTTGCTTGTCAGTCATCAAATTCCTAATGCCTTGAATTCCACCATCACCATGCTGATGGACAGAAATAGGTCATGTGGGTGTACTGCAGTCCTCAAGAAGCCAAGCATGCAATCAACTTACCAATGATGGAATCTGACTGCAGTGCCTGCAACCAAGGAACTTCTTCTGGTTGGTCCTACAGGTTCTTCCAAAGGCTTTTAAGGGTCTCCCAGTTGTTCTAAAGGCTTTGCATACTTCCTCTTTTACACTGGCTGGTGTGTAGCAGGCACCCCCCTGATCCTGACCCACAAGCTGTGAACAGACCCGTCCTGATCCCACAGCAGGGCACTGTGCACCTGAGCTGCTCTTCCTGGCAGAGCACAACCCTCCTCCAACTCCTCACCTCCCAGCTGTCCGTGCCCAACACACACTAGTTCCAATTTATCTGCAACAACATCCTAGATCCACAGTGGTCCACAGGCTTCCATCATCAGGGGAAAAACTCAGTAGCTAAGATAATTTTCTGAAGGGACTGTCCTGTTAAGGGCTCCTTTTAATTAAAGAAAAGCAAACAAAAAAAAAACAACAGCAACTACTGCAGCAGTATTCCTACAGACATAGCATCAAGGCTATGTCAGTGAAGACGACAGAAACTAAAAGCCATCCAAGCAGAAAGACACCCTTATCAGAGTGTTTGTTACACGTCCTTGCACTAGAGGGGGAGGCTCGCTGTTATGTCGGGGAAAGTTACCACTCCTTTAGAAATAACAGTCTGCAAAAACAGAGTGCACTATCAGAAGTGTGACATCCAGTTTCTTCTCTGTTAAAAACAAGCAAACAAAGCTTTTTCTGTGACAGCCACAATTAAAACAGAAAAAGTAAACTTTCGGTATAACAGGTAGGTAATTCTCCTTGGGGATCTTTTTCATTTTCCAACTAGTGCCATTTTGTAAGTAGGATTTAAAACGTTCTTACTCCATTCTCCAACTTCTTGCCTATCTATAGATATTTTTCATATTATAAGAAAATTATGAGCCAGTAAAAGCAGTCACTGTGGCAAACACCTTTCCCCTTTTAGAACCATAGAAAAATAGAACTTGTGGAGAAGTACATGATCCACAGTGTAGATCACGCTTTATTTCTGGAAAACATGCTTCTACCTTCATTTGCTGTCTCTTGGCTAATTTTACAGCTACTATAGCCTTCATGTTTGTATTCTTTTTTCCTTTTTATGATATTCACACAGCCATCCCCAATTTCCAACTGCCTCCTCTGTTCTACTTTTGGTGTTTTGTACTCCAACATTCAGCATAGGGATAAGAAAAAAAAACATTTCTTTACTAGATGTGCTACCTTTTATCCCTCACTGATTCCAAATTCAGTGCAGCCCCACTAGGATTTTACAACAAATTCTTGCCTATTTATACTATCAACTTTTTTCTTTTCTTTTCTTTTCTTTTCTTTTCTTTTCTTTTCTTTTCTTTTCTTTTCTTTTCTTTTTAATAGCATATGCATGTACATGAAGAAGAGTTGTTAGTTTAAAATTTCCATGTCCTTAGTTTTATCAAAAGGATCTTTCATAAGACAACATTATTCTATCATACGACAAAAACATTTTTAAAAATAAAATAACATTACTCACATCTGGAAGGTCCCTAAGTTTATTTCTGAACAAGCACAGCATCTTCAGACTCTTCATGAATCTGATCTCTTTAGAGTTCATGACAAAACACTTGCAGGTCATATAAAATCTGGGAGACTTTACAGAAAACATAGCTCCCCAGAGATATATATATAGATATAATTTTTATTTTTTGCTGGTTAAAGTTATACACTTGAATTTTTCTAACATGCAAAGAGGATAAAGCTTTTCAATCAATACTCTTGAGGTATTTAATTTGGAACACAGAGACTACCTTGGTTTATTTGTGATTTTACTAGCTTTTGGTCTGTGAAGAGTTCTTCTTATTATATATCTATTTATAACTTACAGAGGCAGTTGCTAAGATTTTAATTGTATCTGAAAGTACCTATACCATATGCCTCTTGTGATTAATCATAACCCATCTGCTGCTTTTATTAGTTTCTCAAAACAAAGGAATTGGTGGGTTAGTGTTCTTCCCAGAGCCAAAGAAGGCAGAGAAAATGCCTTTCATAGTTCAGGTCCTATTTTTAAGTCTGCTCAGCTGCTTACATAGATTAAGTAATCAACACAGGCTGCTTGTCATTAATAAATGCATCACAGGAGATCAGCTGGAAGATAAAGGGCAGCTTGTGTCTGAGAACTAAAAGTAAAAAGTTGTACAGGCAACAATCGCATGACTTACAAAAAAATACCGCCTGAAATGTTGCCTTTTGAACTAACCAGATGATGCAGGTGGGACATTCTCACGCTAGATACTGAAAGGCCACCATCAAGTTTCCTCAGAGCCTTCTCTTCACCAGGCTGAACAGCCCCACCACTCTCATCCCATCCTCGCAGGGGAGGTGTTCTTTCCCTCAGATCACCTTTGTGGCCCTCATCTGAATGTGCTTCAACAGGTCCATCTGAAACATCTGATCAGGGCTTCACCAGACTGCCTGTAAGAGCTGCTGCCCAGTTCCACTTACTCAGATTCCCAAACCACAAGGTGACCAGAGCCAGCCAAGGAGGAAGGCTGGAAAGCTGAGAGTAATCCAAAAGGCCAATGCCAGCTGCAAGAGCTAGTGTCCCTACTCTGCCTGCTGCCAGAACATACAGCAATAATTCTCACAACTGCAATTCATCAAAGCATTATGCTCAGACAAAACAGAGCAGATGGAGTGCCACCATCTCACTTCATCAGATCTGTCCCATCACATAAGTCATACACTCAGCTCTACTGCCTGTAAGTATTACAGAATAATTAACTATCACATAATCACAGAGTAATTGGCTTGGAAGAAACCTTACAGCCTCTCCCAGCCTCAACCTCTGCTGTGGGCTGGCTGCCCCCACCAGCTCAGGCTGCCCAGGCCCCCCTCCATGGCACTGGGCACTTCCAGGGATGCAGTACCCACAGCTCTCTGGGCACCACTGCCAGCACCTCACTGCCTTCTGAGTAATGAATTTCCTCCTAGCATCTACCCTAAATCTCCCCTCTTTTAGTTTTAAACCATTCCCCCTTGTCCTATTGCTATCTGTCCACAGATGAAGTCGCACTCCAGAGTGACTAATAGATGTTAGTAGTTCTGGTGTATTTTGAGGTTTATATATGTTGAACATCTGTCGTTCACTTCTTGTCTAATAGCTGTTCATTTAAATGTTTTTATTTGTTCACAGTTCTGAGCCTGTGTTTTTTTGTTTTTTTGTTTTTTTTTATTTCAAGCAGAAGGTCTGCACATAAGGGTAAAAGCTACACATCCTCCTGGATATTGTTAAATCACATCTGTTGTACTGGATAACTGTGGTTATATGTTTAAGCTTTATTTTCAAAATCACTGTTTTTTGTCTGTTTCAAAATGCTAGCTAACCAGAAATAGTGGATACTTGCAGTGACTGTGATGTTGGTAAGGACAACTGAAACAAACATTCTGTTATTACTGGAATTTTTGGACAGAATGTGATGTGAATAACAAGAATATTTACTATGCTTTTTACCTACATATTCCTGATTCTAACCAGATAGTGAAAAACAGGTGAAAGGTGATTTCATGTTTCTTAAGCCATCATGCCTTTTCATTTTGAGGGACTTGTTACTTATCTCTTGTATTCTTAATACATTATGTAAAATACTTATGAATGACAGTGTTTCACAGAATCAGAATCATAGAATGACCTGGGTTGAAAAGGACCACAATGATCATCTAGTTTCAACCAGCCTGGCCTTGAATGCCTCCAGGGATGGGGCATCCACAACCTCCTTGGGCAACCTGTTCCAGTGTGTCACCATCTTCTGTGTGAAAAACTTCCTCCTAATATCTAACCCAAACCTCCCCTGTCTTAACATAAAACCATTCCCCCCTGTCCTATCACTATCAACCAATGTAAATAGTTGCTTATCTGGCAGTGGTTTACCATTTTTTGATTGTCTAAGTTGTTAACAGTAAAGTTAATATTTCAGAACATGGTTTGTCAACAGAAATACTTTTGTGCTCTGAAACTTGTGTTTTTAATATATGCAAAAGGATTTATTTCTATTAGGGAGGTAGTGCATTGACTGCAACAAAAGGGCACAGAAGAAGAATTGGTCTGATTTCTTATGCTGAGCAGTAACAAAATTGAAAGGCAAAGTGATAACCGTATCTGCTAATACAATCTAATTCACTTCACAAAATAAAGCAAAATATTGTTTAAATTAGTGGATAATTTAAGAACATTTGATAGCTTAATTTCTTTTGACAAACCTTTGTTTTTTCTATATGCAAATTTCTTTTAGGAGTTATTAACAGAGTATAACTGGCCCAGAAATCCATTTTTTAGTACAACTGTGAGGGGAGGAGAAAGATCTGTTGTTTTTTTTTTTTTTTTCTTTTGGAAAGTGAATTACTAATGACTATGAGAAGGTCAGCTGAAATGTTGTCCCATTCAGGACAATCTAATTGCTCTCAGAATCACAGAATTGCCAGGGTTGGAAGGGACCTCAAGGATCATGAATCTCCAACCCCCTGCCACACGCAGGGCCACCAACCATCCCACCTAATGCTAGACCAGGCTGCCCAGGGCCCCATCCAATCTGGCCTTGAACACCTCTCTCAGCTGTTAACTGTCTTTACAGACTGAGAGATGCTTCCTCAGGCATTGGGAATAATTATCTTTTGAAGTTAATCCACATTTCATACCAGTAACATTTTGGTTCCAGCAAAATCCAGCCTGTGTTTTAGTAACAGGAATTAAAGAAAAGCTCAGTAAATGGAGTTCTTTCAGATGGTGATTTGGTGCCAGAAGAGTACTCTGTTTTCTTCATTGCTTCATTAAAAGAAAGTTACAAAAATACTTCATAGAAAATGAAAGTGTAGATTAAAATTAAGAACAGAGAAGATGATTTTTAATCACTTTTTATAAATGCATCTGTGTAGGTGTACGCTAGAAAAGGATTCAGAATTGTCTTCACCAGAGCTCTGTACATAGCACAAATTTGGCGAATCCACCTTCCAGTTACTTTGTTTATGCCAGAATATGGGTTCCCAAGTCTTTCTTATAAACAGTGTCAACTTCATTTGTCAGCAGTAAAAATACAAACTGATGAAGTTAAGCAGTTTGTCAATTAAGTAATGCAGTCAGAACCAATCCCCAGAATGGAAGGTTTTTATGCCATTTATATTTGTCTGTTTCTTTTTCCACTGAAGGTGACTTGTCAGAAAACTTATTTAAGATGCTTACTGGATACCTTTCTAGCATTGTATCACTTCTTCTACATTCTTTTGAAACAGTATATGTTAAACATAGACCTATTCATATTGGGGATTTCTTCAAAGACACTTTTCACAATGAGTAGTGTGTAGGAGACCAATCAAGATGTTTTCAGACAATGTTTAGCTGAATTATTTTCTTTCAGTCCGCAGTTCTGATCTGAAACTATTCTACAGTAACACTGTATGTAAGTTTGGTAAATAGATATGCTTAAGAATAAGGCATTTTTTTTCCTTTAATATCACTACTGCAAATGACAATTTTCTTTCGCTCACCTTTCACATTCTCCTCTCTCATCTCTCCTCTTTCCTCTCTTTTTCACCCTAG